GTGCCACAAACCAGCGAGATCCCTCAGATCGTCAAGTCAGCTTCTTTTGGAGGTGTCAAGGGCCAGATTCAAACTCTGGGGAGGTGGTACTTTTGCTGGTGAAGCCCCTAAACTGTGAACAGCCTACTTTACCTTTAAATGTTAGACATAGTGGAGTTTGATCAATTCTGTTTAATCATGGTCTTACGTCTGCATTTTATTGTCTTGTTTCATCCATTGTAATGATTTTATTTTACTGCTACTTGTATTTTTGTGTATGTGAAGTACTTTGGTCAACAGGATGTTGCTTTTAAAGTGCTATGTAAATAAATTTAATTTGATGCTGAAGTAAAATCTGATCACTGTTCTTTACAGTACTCATCAGTATTCGTATGCTCTGTGTCGTGATGGTGATAAATGTTGAACGTCTTCCTGTGCAGGCAGTTCATGAACGTTCCTGTGCTGGTCAACAACCTGGGTTTACTGGAGCAGCTGGCGTACTGGAAGGTGTCTGCTCCGTGCTCTGCAGCGGGCTACAATCACACCGTGAAGAAACACAGGTATGACCCTTCACACGGTCACATGTTCACATTACTTTTGTGCATGTGCTCATGTAACCGATCCTCTGATGCCACAGCTCTAGGTTCTTCTCGCCCAACGGGCTGCTGAGGGAAGTCAATGAAGTGAACAAGATGAATGAGTCTCTGCAGTCGGAGCTGCAGGTGAGGAGCAGAGGGACCGTCTGCACGGTGGGTTTTCACTTCCTGCTGCTTCACTCAGTCTCTGTCTGTCTGGTGTTGGGCAGAAAGTGTGCAGAGACGTGGAGCAGAGTGAACATCTTGTGGAGACGCTGCAGGCCGAAGTGTCAGCTCTCAGGAGGCGAGTCAGAGAGAAGAGGCAGAGCAGAGCGGGAGGAGGTATGCTGTCGTCTATGTGGGTTACACCGTCACTAAACGGAGCGACTCAGAATGTAAAACAATCACCAGCATCAGATCTGACTCTGCCAGTAACATTTTCTCCCTGAAGGGAAAGTGTCCACACCTCTGATTGGTGCTGTATGTTTATGATTGTCCACACTAAACCTACTAGGCTGATTTATTGAAGGAAATATTCAGTGTGGACAAGAACATCACGATGGTTTGTGTGTTGTTAAATTTTGTTCCCTGTTAACTTAGATGAAGCTCTGACCATATTCAAAGACACATATTTACAAAGATAAATCAAATTCCACAGGGATCCCAAGCTGTTTCTTGCCACTGTAACTAAGTCACTGTTTTCTGTGCACAGAGAGCGATGACGGTGCAGCTGAACCGAAGAGCAACCTGCTGCTCCACGAGGCCATCAGAGCTCTGTTCGCCAGCTCGCCTCTGTTCCACTCTCAGACTCTAACCCTGGAGGCCTTTGCCGTTCCCGCCGTGTGCTGTGGCTCCGAGCAGGACGACACAGCAGCACTGCTCTCAGACACACACTCCCTGCTGACTCCCAGCAGAACAAACTGTCGGAAGAGGCTGAACGAGACGTCGCCGGGGAGGGGGAGGAAACGCAGGAAGAGCTAGTCCTGATGTGAACGTCACTGTAGGAATGAAGTGGCCAGGTGGAATAATGAGCCATGTTTGTGTTGAAGGTTAATCTCCAGCTTGTTTTTAGCCAGTTCTCAGCTCTTCACTCACATTTTAACGTCACTGAACAGGCTTGTTACTGTGGGAACCAGTGAAACTGTACAGCTTTTGATATGTTTGACAATTCTTTAAAATGTTTGATAAAATGTTGAGTTGTTAAAAATGTGTTGTGATCATCAGTGAGAAGTCTGTAAATCCAGCTGTTGAGTGTAGCGGTCGAGTTCATAACTGTCCGATCTTTTTGTTTTAAAGTCAAATCATTTGCAAATGAGTAGGAACAGTTCAGGCTGTGATTTTTACAATGTTCAGCCCAGATGAGATTTGTTTTAATAGTAAATCCTTTAAGAGTTTAAATCCAACAAGTACTACTGAATCATTTCAGAGGCCGAAGTGTTTCACCAGCCCCTTGGTACAAAGCTTCAGTGGAAGCTTTTGTTCCCTCGCGTGAAGCAGCAGATCACAGGGACACACTTTACACATTGACAGCTTTAATGAACACGTGCTCACAGGTTACAACAGGAGATGACAGCCACTAATCCAGATGTTTGATGCCACAGATGCTAGGGTCCCTCATGAACTGTGGGTGCTTGTGTGTCAACGACATGAAACCTGAAAAAGGAAGCAGAGCTCTGGTTGTAGACACTCGTATCAGTTCCCACAGACATGTACTGACTGTCACTGCTCAGCAGGGTTGGCCCATGTTGGGTGTGAATCAGCATTAGCTGGTGGCTCTACCCCACTGGCAGATGCCGCCACAGGTGAACTGCTGCTGTGTCAGTCACCTGTTGATATCTACCAGTGAACTTTGCGGGAAAAGCCGGCAGAAGTCAGCTGGCTTCAGTCCATTACCAACTTTAGTATTTACCAGTTCCTGCTTTAATTAAAAGCCTATTAAAATGCCAACCAGCCACACTGACATGTGAATGTTATGCTTTTCTCTACCACCCTCCAGCTTGATGTGAACACCAACGTTTGGGTG